CCATTTTATCATTCTTAGTGAGAGAATTAGTATTTTAGGTGTATTGTACTTCACATTATACTGTATTTCAGATACTACAATTCTATCAATATTGATAGAAGTATATATGAATATACAGAACTGGTATGTTGACACCAGGAAAAGCTTATAGAAAACAGTGAAAGCTAGCACTAGTTCAAAAAAATTCTCAGACTGAAACTTTGCTAAACTGGGCAGTAAATTGCTTGGATTTTTATGTGTCTATGACACAAAAATCAGTATGGAATCAGGGTACTGGTATATATTGATGGGATAGTGGCTGACAGAGAAGGTATGCATTGCAATTCAATATTCCTAAACCTAATACAGATTTTGTATTATTTTTACCTATTAAAAATCATGCTAATGCAAGTGGTACCCGTAACAAAAAGAATAAAACAAATGGCCTCGTTAGTCAACTTTCTACCCTTTCTGCAATAGTCAGTCAGCCTCCCAAAACTACTGAACAGGCTCAGTCCTCCCTAAGCTGGGTCCGTCCTTCCCAGTTTTTTTCCCCTGATGATTTTGTGTATTTTCAAGATTCTCCCCACTCTGGTGATAACTCCTATTTGGATGTGATCTTCTAGCTTAAATCTTGCCTGTGCACTATTATACGTCCTTTGGAAGTTTTTCAAAACTTCTGGAATAGATTCTGTGGGCATGGAGAGGCATTAAAAGAGTAGGGGAAACCCATTCCACTGAAAGTTTTCATTCTACAGACATAGTTACATTTCCTATATAGTATAACATCAACATTTCCAAAACTAATGTCTTCCACATTGCAAAACGAATGTCAAAGCCATCCCTTTTTTGTACTATATTCATTATATAAACTCAGAGTTAATGAAAGCTATTATCCAACTCAGCAGACATTCCCCATTTACTGCTCCAAAAAGTGATAAATAACTCGTCTTTTTCTTGGAAATAATTTGCTTTCCATTTTCCTTCATTTATTCAAACATTGTTTCATCATCGTGGCTGCATTTCACATAAAAATACTAGAAAGTGAAGTGGGGGAGGGGGTTTGAGAAAGGAACTCATCTGAATTCTGCCGTTTTGGTTGGTGCAAGCAAGAGACACCTGGGAGGCTTTTATATTTATTTCATCCATTGGACAGGTCTTTAAGATTACACACATACAGTGTGTTGGAGAGACAGAGAGAGAGAGGCTGTAAGACTACAGATGAACGAGACACCAATAGTTTTAGACGAGGCAGCAGTGGTAGAGCCTGGTTACACTGATGATATACCTCAGATATGCCACGGTGTTAACAAAAGTCATTTATAGTCATGTGGTAGTCACACGGTCTTAGAATTGTTGCATGTGTCTCCTGTGGCAACTGCTCATCCAGCTTTTTTTTAGGAGCCATCAAAGTAGACTGGATTCTTTCACTTCACATTAGATTGGATCCTTACTTCTATTTCCCCTCAGTTTTTTTAATGCAGATTATTCTGCTCCTCACCCAGCCCATGCATTCAAGCCATTGATGTTCCCAGTTTCTTAAAGGAGGTGGCTTATCCCCTCCTTGCCTGCTGGGTGATTTTCACCTTGCAAATGGCCAATGAGTTGAACCACTTACTTTTTGTGTGCAGTCAACACTACCTCATCCCCCGCCTACCCTTCTTGAATTCTCTGGAAGCCACACACAAGCCAGGAACAGAGGGGAGAGGAGGCATTGGTTCAACTCTTGATTGACATTTATGGGTTGCTGTCAGTCTCTGGTTTCGCAAGTAGCCCCAGTGGTTTGCCATGAAAGTCTGCCTGGGGAGAAAAAAGTGGAGACGAATGAAGCAAGGAAAGGAAGAAAGGAGAGGCAGAGGAAGACAAAAATGAGGAATAAAGATATAAAATTCCTCATCTTGGCTCCTGGGTTATTTGTGGCTTTCAGAGAAATTCAGGATGGGCAGGCAGGGGAAAGAGGCAGCAGGGAACTATGGCTGCTGCTGCCGCCACTGCCGCCTCATCCCTTCCTTCCAGGAGACAATGGTGAAGCCTCACTTGTAGCAGCTGGCAGGCAAAAAGCCTTCCTCTTCCTCACTTCTCATTCTCTCCTCCTTCCCTTCATGACAGAAAGAAAAAAGAAAAAAAGAACAACAGGCTAGGGAAAGCACCCCCTTTTTCCCAAGCCTAGCATTTGCTGGCTCTGTGAAAAACTCGTGGCCACTCCAAAAAACACAATCTGCCATCAAATTAATCCAGTCTTACACATGCATCATGTAGTTACCCATTTTTACAGCAAATCAAAACAAGCTAAACCAAATTTAAATATTTTTTAAAAAAAATAATAATTTTTAACTGCCTTCCAAGTCTGTGCTTAGCATATCAGGCCACTGCCAGGTGCGAAATGCCACACTATCCACAACTTGCGCCCAGGAAACAGTCTCTTTGTTTTAGGACCATGTATAAATATTTGCTGTGGGATGTGGTGGCGCTGTGGGTTAAACCGCAGAAGCCTCTTTGCTGCACGGTCAGAAGACCAGCAGTCGTAAGATCGAATCCACATAACGGAGTGAGCTCCCATTGCTTGTCCCAGATCCTGCCAACCTAGCAGTTTGAAAGCATGTAAATGCAAGTAGATAAATGGGTACCACCTCGGTGGGAAGGTAACAGCGTTCTGTGTCTAGTCGCGCTGGCCACGTGACCATGGAAACTGTCTTCGGAGAAATGCTGGCATTATGACTTGGAGACAGGGATGAGCACTGCGCCCTACAGTCGGACACGACTGGACTAAATGTCAAGGGGAACCTTTACCTTGTAAATATTTGCCATATGTAGTCTCACTCTTAAGTCTGAGGAAGTGGATTTGGTCCACAGAAGCTCATATTTATAGCAGTTAGTGTTCAAGGTGCCACTATATTTTTGTCCTTTATTTTTTCTTTATCTTTCATTTTTGGCCTGCTATGCTAGATACTTCTATGTGGTGACTCCCTGGCTGTAAGAGTAGAGCTGAAAAAAATACTACAGACAGCTTACTCTAAAAAGTCATCTGATCACAATCCCATAAGCTTTTCTAAATTCCCGTAGCTTGCAAATTAGTTTACTGTATTGTGTTTTGTGACAGGTCTTTGGAGGTTACGCACCATCTTAGTTTGTATTATGATTGTTTAAAGGCAACTCTGGAAACAGTTGCAGTGGCTGAAATAGTAATGTGCTTTCTTGTGTTAATGAAGTACTAATTCTATCATCTGATTTGACCCTACATTTGGGAAGGCCAGATGCCTTCCAGGTATTTTCAGCTACAACTGTTCTAATCTCTGACCACTGAGCTTCTTGTCTAGTCTTTGAGAACTGTAGTTAAAAAACTGTTCTAATCTCTGACCACTGAGCTTCCTGTCTAGTCTCTGAGAACTGTAGTTAAAATCATCTGGAGGATACCCAAGGTTGGGGACCACTGATCTGGAGGATACCAGATTGTCTACAATTAATAATAATTTAATGCCACTAATTTAGATTTATGGTGACTCTTCTCAGGGTTTTCTAGATAGAGACTAGTCAGAAGTTTATAGTTCCCTTCTTCTGCCCTGGGACTGTGTGCTTGCCCCCGGCTACACAAGCTGGCTTTTTCTCCAGGAGCCATAGTGGAGAAATGAACTCTTGAACCCTGACTCTGCAGCCAGGTGTCCAACTCACTAAGCTATTTAGCCAGTTTTGCCTCTAGTTAGAGCAAACTATACACACAGAGACAGGTCAGCTGTTTGATTCTCTGTAGATGAGCTTCAAATGTTTACCACCATTGTTGCTTGATATAAGAAGGTAGTTTGCAAATTTGCATCCAGCCATCTTACATGGCTTTGGAGCATATTGTGTACCCCAGCAACATTTTTTTCTGTTTTAATTTGTTTCTAACATATTTCCACCTAAGTGGAAGAGGGGGCAGCGCAGTTGTCGACTGTCTTTCTAGCAACTGCAAGGATTTATTTATAGATGCAATTTCTCAAAAAACTGTTCCTAGTGTAAGAAAGGAATTGCTGGAAAATGTTGGCAATTATTTTGCAAGCTGTGGTTTCTTCCTGGTACGGTACTACAGCTTATTTGCATACAGTATGATTGAAAATGAAACTCTGACATGTAGGATTTCACAAATATCACAGGAGGGGGCTGGAACACCCACACCGACAGATACAACAAATAAACACTGCCACTTATAGATGAAAGACAGTGTTGCAGCTGCTGAATATTTATTGTAATGGCTTAAAGCTGTATTTTAATTTGTTTAAATACACATGTTATACATAGTTTATTAAAAGATACATTTATCGATTCTTAGGGTATAAATATCAGAGAAAGGATAATCTTGGTGAACCGTACAAAGGGTTGACTCCAAATTCATCTCCCCACATTGCCATGCTGTGTACTGTTCACAGTGTAGAGTACTGTGCAAGAAGAGAGATATTAAACCAAATAACATTTTGTCCTTCTGTAACCTTTTGCGCAATCAGAGATATTAAAGTAGCCATGGAGCCTACTAGTTATATCTCTAGACAAGTTCCTGTGCAAGCCTGGGGTATCCATGTGTGGGATCTCACTAGCGACTGCTTCCATTCTGCTCAAACTTGTTTAGGTCCAGTGTAATCTCACCTTTTTTTTACTCTGAAACATTTCCCACCCACCACATTCCCTTGCCTTTATCCTTCTAATGCAGTGGTTCTTAACCTTTGTTATTCAGGTGTTTTTGAACTGCAGCTCCCAGAAACCCCAGCCAGCAGAGCTGATGGTGAAGGCTTCTGGGAGTTGCAGTCCAAAAACATCTGAGTAACAAAGGTTAAGAACCAGTGCTCTAATGCACAAAATAATTCCCACATTTTCCATCATTGTCAGTTACAAAATACCCCACCATGAAAACATTCCACAATACCATCAAATATTAATTCACAGAAATGAGTAACCTATTCCAGTGGTCATCCTGGCTTGGTATTCTGGAAAGCGTAGTCCAGAGTAGAAATATTTCCAGTCTCTGGTGGCCAGTTACTTTCAGGGTTGGCAGTGTAATCAGGTATCTGGGCATGGAGCCAGAGGCTGTAAATTCAGATCGTCCTTGTGTCTCTGAGAAGAAGAGCCAACATGTACAACCTGGGGCGAGCTGTAGCATCCCACAAGTGCTTCCAGAAGAAGGGACTGCAAAATCACTTCTGAATACATTGTACATGGGAGACTCTGGAAGAAGCATTACCATTAGTCAGAGCTGACTTGAAAGCACATGTTATTAAGCAGGGCATAATGACATTAAATTTCAAAAGTATTGTAATATGTAGGAATTACTTTCTTTGTGAACCAGGGAACACTTTCTACTTGCATTCAAAAGTTACTTATAAAAGGGTATTTGGAGAGGCATTTTGACAGGAATTCATCTGTTTTTCTTCCATTCTCTCCTCAGTTCTAAAGATTCTGCCCCGAACACACCAAATAATTGAAAAATAAGGGGCTCCGCAAGAAACAATGCAATGAGTTTCTCCTCTAATGGTGTAATGAATGACTATGGATTATTTTTAATGTATCATAGCAAATAGAAGGAAGGGATAGCTCTTTCTCTCCAAATAAAAAATAAATAAAATAAAATGCTCTTCTCTGAAGCTGTTATTTGCATTTTAAAGGAAGTTTGCACTGCTGCCCGAAAGGTTTCCCTTAAATTCTTGGAGAGTCAGTTTTGGTCATAGGGACTGCATTAGGGAGTAAAACAGTTAAGCTTTTCTTCCCTGTATGACCCCTAAGTGTGCCAGTATTTTTTTCATACCTTCCTCCATAAATGCTATTCATATTAATAACATCATGCACATTCAGTTGTTTCATTTTGGACTTCCTCATTATAGGGCTTTTGAAATATAAATATTCTGAAGTGATTTACCATTGCGTTCTTATACACAGTACTAGTAAGAGTTAGCCTGAATGTCACTGGTGTTGTCTGTGAAAGTTCCTTCACCAGTGTCACCTTCCACTACCACTCCTGCCCAATAGCTGTCCTTCAGGAGATTCACAAATCCACTATTGGATTTATCCATTCTTTTCTGTTCATGTGGCCTTTAATTCATGAAGACGATGGATGCCCTTTATTGTAATGTGTCATCTTTGATAATTCCACCTTAGTTGACCCTGCTATGAATTTTGACCTGTAACAGAGTCTAGCCCAGTGGTGGCGAACCTTTTTGGGCTCATGTGCAAATTGGGAACAGCAGCAGCAGAACCAGAAGTGGCGGCGGAAGGGGGAATCCCAGCACGGAGGTGCCTTGAGACCCCACTCTGGATCTGCTGCCAGCACCAGCTGCTCCGGATCCACCTGCTGAAGTGCCAACACCGTGGCTGCAGCCGCCTTCTCAGGTTTGGCTGCTTGGGGGGGGGGGAGTAGCGATCTGGCAACTTATGCCTCGTATGCCGGCAGAAAGGGCTCCGCTTGGCAGCTGTGGCATGCATGCCATAGCTTTGCCATCACTGGTCTAGCCTGATGGCATTTTTTTCAGGTTGTCAATATGTAAAGTTTTGTGTTTATAGAGTGTTAAGATCATTAAAGGGGGTGTAGAATAACCTTGAAAATGGAAGTGCCTTTAGAATTGATTCTTGAACAATAGTTTACTACAGGCTTTGCAAAATAATGAATCCGCTCTCCAGCTGAGCAAGTTCACTGTACCATAACAATCCAGACAGTTGAACATGTTTATATTGCAATGTGTAAATATGCAACATGGTGTATCTAGGTCTTATAGCTTGCACTCTTTGTAGTTCCAATACCCTGGTGTTAAAACACTCTCTTTTTCTAGTATTTGGGCATTCCAGGTCCCTGATGCAACAGGCCTTTATTCCTCTAGTCTTTGACAAAAATTCGTCAAAACAATGATGTTAGCATCATAGTGCCAGCTTTCCAGATACTGAGTTACAAGACTCTGGAATTATGAAGACTATTTCAGGAACAGTAGAATTTCTTATTGAAAAATATGGTGTTCCAGGCTCCTGGATCTCAAGACCCCTGGAGAAAGGATTGTTGGCAGATTGATGGAAGGTGTAAACATCTGAAAGAATTATAACTATAGGGAGATAAGGAACACAAATTCAACAATAATGTAGCAGTGCAGAAACAGGCTTTATTTCCAAAAGCTAGGAACACTATCAACAGGAATTTCCCTCTATAGATTCCAGCTGGTTTGGCCGGGTGAGCATTTAGAATGATTTTGTGTGTGTTCTTAATATGCTTAGAGGCTGAGGAAGCCATGTTCATTTATGTATTTTTATTCTTCAGAACATTCGTATTCAAGTTTTATTCTCTGCCTTTTGACTTTTGATTGTGCCTTTTTAGGCTATAAGTGCCTGCAATTTTAAAATGTAACCGAAACATTATTGTTGGTATTCTTATGGTACTTTTTTATGGTCCTGTATTTTGGACTGAATTCTGACAAGTATTTGCTTGCAAGCTAAGTTTAGTTTTCATACATTTATTTTATACGAATTTTGAATGTGCTTATGTTTTTTTCTCAAAACTGTAAGACCATTTTCACTACATTTTGACTTGTTACTTTTTGAGATATTTTGTGCTTATGGAATATAAAGCAATGTAGATAAAGCTTGCAGAACTAGACAAGCTGATGTTTCCTGGCATCATTGCAACAATGAAAAGACTTACACCGTGATAGATGAATTTTGATATGGCTGGAAATGATTGTTTGGCCTCATTCTGAAATTAACACCTTTTTGGGATAAATGTCAGCTGTAATGAACACAGACTTTCTTTTCAAAAGGTCTATAAAATTCTGTAGGGCTCTTGGGGAGATGTTCAGGCATCAGAACCTGACCTAACAGACTTCCTTGGCCCATTCAAATACTCTTACCACATTAAGGGGTGCATACAAGAAGAGGTGCAGAATAGTGCCAGAAGAAGTAAAGGGCAGTAGAGAAATAGGAATACTAAACATGAGATGGATTGACTCATAAATTTTAGCATTGAAGATCTGAGCAAGGCTTTTAATGATAGAACCGTTTGGAAGTAATCAATCCATTGAGTCCTCCTAAGTCAAAATGACTTGATAGCACATAAGAACTGCTCAGTTGGTAGGTTCAGACGTGGAGGAATTTTCTGATGTCCATTTTCTACCATTATGCTGACATTTTTGTTTAGGGTTTCATAGTACCCAGACCTAATGAATGTTCTATTTTGCCACAACATTTCTGTGTTAGCCAGAGTAATCTCTTATTGAAGTTAGTGCCAGCAACTTATCACCAAATTGGTGCTGGTTCTAATCAAAAGCAGCTGAAAGGTCCACAAAAGCTGTGAAAAGTGTCTCTGAGGGGTTTGTGGTAGATTTCATAATAGGATGGTGCAAAATCAACCTTGCTCACTGGAAGGACAGATCCTGGAGCTGAGGCTCCAATACTTTGGCCATCTCATGAGAAGAGAAGACTCCCTGGAAAAGACCCTGATGTTGGGAAAGAGTGAAGGCAAGAGGAGAAGGGGACAACAGAGGATGAGATGATTGGACAGTGTCACCGAAGCTACCAACATGAATTTGACCCAACTCCGGGAGAGGGCTTGGCGTGCTCTGGTCCATGGGGTCACGAAGAGCCAGACACAACGACTAAAGAACGAAATGGTGCAAAATAATAATTTTAAAAACCTGGTGTATTGTGGATGTCCCCAAGGAAACCCGCTTGTTCTTCATTTATAATTTTGTAGTTTATTTCAGTCTTCCAGTCTGTGGAGAAAGTAGGTAAACAGCTTTCATGCAACTTACATGCAAGAGGCATATTGATCTATAGCAGGGATGGGCAAAGTGCAGTTCATTGACCACAAATGGTTCCTCAGTGGTCTGGTGCAGCCAACCAAGGCTCCCCAGAACTCCCGATCTCTGAGGTAGAGGAGTGTCAGAAGTGTAAGCTCTGGGAACAGCAGGTTATCTACCCCAGTTTCTAGTTACATGGGCCATTGTAGGAAGAAGGCAGGATATGCCACTCCTGTGGTGGTTCCCCTTTAGTAAGCTTTGTTACCACTCACTCAGCAACTTCATTATCAATTGGCAGAGATTAAAGAACTCTGTCCTCTGGGGTGCTGTCCTCTGAAGATGCCGGCCACAGAGACTGTTGAAATGTTAAGAAGAACAACCTTCAGAACACGGCCAAAGAGCCCGAAAAACCCACAACAGTCATTAGATCCCGGCCATGAAAGCCTTCGCAAATAAATTTAAGAACATTTTGTGCACGCTAAAGTACAATTTGATTACAAGCCCCTATTTCTCAGTCTTTTTGAGTGGTTCCACTGTCCTAAAGAAGAAGACACTCCAAATGTAGTGAGCAACTGGATAAAGTGTGCACAAAGTAACAGATTGTGATAGATTTAAAACTCCTAGCTGATGCCGGGTAATTGTAATATGGGAATGGCTTTTGTTCAGTTATTTTGATAGCCTTCCATAGTATCTACAGGGGCTAAGGAAAGAAACAGGTCCAATTTTTTATATATAGTGTAACTGAATGTACAATGGACATTTGTTGTACAGTTCCACACATGTTTATTCAGAAGACAGAATAACTGTATTCTGTGGAACGTACTCTCCTCAAAGTGTGCACAAGATTGCAGGCTTAATGGCGTAACATCTGGTATCCATTACACACACCTCTAATTCTGTCATTTTGCATTTCCAGGCAGATGGACAAACATTACCATTATATGTGGCATTGTTAGGATGGAAAATGCAAGATACACTGCTAGATTAAACAAGTGCTAAGAGATTTAACTGTAGTTGTATGATCTTCTGTTGCAAAAATGCAATACATAAAAAGAAGCATCTATTTACCAACATTACTTACTAGGTTTTGCTAGTGCTGGTTTTAGATAGCCAGGGAAATTATTCCAGATTCCTAATAATCTGGGATGCTACTTCAGAAAGGGACTGAAAAGAGATTCCCTGCATATGCTGATTTCCTTCCCAAGTCTTTTGTGCCCTCTAGGTGTGTTAGCATACAAGTACCCTCATTCTCAACCAGTCTGGCCATTGGGTATGCTTGGGTTATAGGCCATGACATTTAGAGGTCACGAGGTCGGGGAATGTTGGCACAAAGCATTAAGACACTGAAGGATTTTTCTGTTCAGATTGCAAAAGTAGTAATGATAAACTACAACTAAACTATGGGCTTGTTTACATAAGACTGGGCTGGAGCAGGCTAAGGGGGGTTTCTTACGTTTGGGTGGAGGTTGAACATGCCAGTTGGTGCAATCCTGGTATCCACATGGCATGCACACCTCAAGCAACCCTCTTCGGCCTGCCTCCCTTAAGAAAACAACATATGTTCATATGGTGCTCCTAAAGAAATGGGAGGGATTAAGGCAGATCGTAGAATCTGTAGAATGACCACCTTTCCTTAGTGATCTGTAACAAAACAGAAATAAAAATAAAGCAAAAAGCCTTATGGCACCTTTAAGACTATCAGATTTATTTCAGTGAGAGCTTTTTATAGAGTAAAATGGAATACTGTACAGTATTTAGACCACAGGTTTATATATTCAGTGTACCTGATTATGGCAGTAGGGACCAACTAAGGTCAGATACAGAAGATCACAACAGTATTATCTGCAATTGCGTCTGCATATACCGGTAAATGTATCTTGGAAACACACACGATAGACCAGTGACATAAGAAATAGGGCATAGCTAACTGGCACCATAAAGATGTGCTCTTTTTGCCCTTTCCTTTTTCCATATAGTTTTTCCCTCTCCCTTTTTAGTCATTACTAGGAAACCAACCTCTGTTCTGCATATTTATTATAATGTGAGAATTTGATATTGTGGTCCTGCAACCTATATTAAATTAATTCAGACCATTATGATGACAATAGGAAGAACTAGGTAAGCAACAAAATGTAGAAATTATAAACTTAGTGGCAGTGTATATGCTTTTCAAATTTATTGGTATTAATTGTCATATATTGTTTAAGCTGTCTACAATGAAATGCAAAGCCTCATTTAGCTCTTGCCCAGAAAGAAAATACTATTGAAAATAATTCATGCAAAAACTGAAGACAAACATATTAGTCAGCAGAATATTCAGAAGCTCATCAGAACCAGTTACAGAAATTGTAATGCTTTCTGTCTTGCTAACTAAACAAACTGCACAGGTCAGTGGTTTTTAGATGGTGTACAGCTTTCCCCTCCGAGACACTGATAATTGGTGATACACTTGGCCACAGATACCACCGCCACTGGAAAAATAACATCAGTACATGTAACTCCAGAACTGTAAATCTTTTGGCAATGCCCAAAATGAACAGATTAGGCTTTTATGGACACCATCTATCTTCCTTCTTTCTGTATTTACACAGAGTGTATTCTTGCAGATTTCAGATTCAAATTAAGGGTGTAATCATACAGCTGGAAAGGATCACACTAGAAAGGGTTGCTTCAATAGCAGTGATTTTCCTCAAAGCAGCCCTTCTGTCTGCTGGTGAAGCGCTCCAGCCCAGCCTCCCAAAGTAGTAGTCTTATAGTAGGACTGAAAAGGTCCAACTTGGACAGAGATCAGGGTCAGGGTGGAGCACAATTCTCTGAACATTGTATGATTGCTAGGAAATGGATCATACCAGGTCACTCCACAAGCTGTCCAAAATGCAATTTATTTCCCACACCCACGAGAAGAGCCTCGTGGCACAGTGGTTAAACTGCTGTACTGCAGCTAAAACTGTGCTCACGACCTGGGGTTCCATCCCAGGTAGCCGGCTCAAGGTTAACTCAGCCTTCTATCCTTCCGAGGTCGGTAAAATGATTACCCAGCTTGCTGGGGGTGGGGGTGTAGCCTGCATAATTAACTTGGAAACCACCCAGAGAGTGTTTGAAGCACTATGGGGCGGTATATAAGCAACACACTTTGCTTTGCTTTAATTTAGAAGACAACACACTGAACATTTAGAACGTACAACTTTGTGCAAATAATTCCCAGGGAAACAAGCAGAGTGCCATTTGGTCTTCTATGCTTTTTGACTTCCCCAAGGCCATTCTGGACTAATGAATGGTCCAATTTATTATGAACTACATCATTAATGTAACTGTGGACAGTCCTGTAGCAAAGCTAGCCATGGTTCTTCTACTTCTGAAGACAGTGCTTACCAACAAAACTATTCTGCTGGTTATTGCTAGACAGCAAATGCTCCAGGCAATATACTGAGGTGATGATGGTTGTTGAGGTCTCAGCCAAAAGGATGGGATTCTGAGCAGGGATAAAGCAAAAAGCTGCAGTGAAAAAAGGCAGCCACCTGTAAAATGACAAAGATGCAGAAAGAGGAGAGGGAAGAAGTCAGTGGGGCTGGACTGTCCCTCCTTTGAGAGGATGAGAGACCCTCAACCATTTTTGAGCCAGAGCTAACATATGCATTGTTTGAAGCGCGTCATGGGCCCTCAAAAATTGCTGCCACACTGAGAAGAACAAATAAGAAATCACTAACTTCACATACACACACACAGACACACAGACAGAGAGAGAGAGAGAGAGAGAGAGCAAACAGCAAACAGAAACAGAGCCTTAGTACAAGGCTGGAGGTGGTGGTCCGAGCTGCAAAATACAAGACCATCTTCTTGAACCCAGTTTTCTGTTCCCACATGCATTTCAGTGAAGATGGAGGGACTGGACTAAGAGACAAATAATATGGCAAAAGAACTTCAACATTGAGAGGTGTGATTTAAGTGCCCAATGTCATACATCCCATCCAAAATATGCACAACACATACCCAATTCCTAGGGGACAAAGCTGGTGATACTTGGAGATGTAGAGAGAATAGAGATGGAAAACACCAGCCCACATTTTGCACATTGCAAAACACATCCCTTTTGCTTTCTGCCAGCGTTTGGCAGTGGCTGTCTATCATTTTTATTTTCTAATAATAAAATGCCAGAGGCATTGTGGAAAGGAAGATGGTACTGGTGGACAACATGTCACTTCGGGACTGCTGTCTCCTAATTCTTTTTAATATAGTATCTTAATCAAAATTGAACATACTGTATATAAAAAGAATAGGTACCCTGGTGAGTACCAATGAAAGTAAGCATCCTAGGGCTTTCCGAGTTCTCTTGGGCAGGAGCTGGGAACACATTACCTTGGTGATTCCACTCTTCCTTGCCAGATTGGTTATAGCAGGTGCTAGTGGTGGGTCTTCTGCTGAGCTTGGCAGCATTTAAGATTTAGGGTACTACTAGGCTTAGTCAAATGATGTTACTATGGCTTATTCTAAACTGTGGTGGGAACTTTCCTCTTTCTGCAGTACAGTACAGTACTTTTAAAGTACTTATAGTATGAAAAACAATGTTTCCAGGCTCTGGAATGCAGCCATTGCAGTGGGCATTGTTGATACAGGGACTTAAATAGGTCGGGCAATTTCCTATATCTACATTAGTCCAATCTCTTGTGTCCCTTCTGCCTTCTGGCTTTGTGCATAAGACAAGCAGTATTATCCTTTTTCAAATTAAAATGCTCCTCCTAATATTCTCCCACTAGCTTGGAAGTATTCCCTAAGTACATATTAGACATGAGCAAACTGCCTATTTTTCAGATTCCAAATAAAACACTTTAGCAAGAACTAGGCTGCCTGTGCTATCAATAAACATTTCACTACTCCTTCATCTGAAGAACCAGGCTTGCCTGAAAACAGCGCTCTTCTTTCCATCCAACCACCCCCGCCCCATTTCTTTGCAATGATATTCGCATGTAGGCCTGGTGCCCTCACTATTGCTGTTGTTGTTGCCATGGTTATGCCCTCGACTTGTTTTCTCAACAGGAATCTCCCTCTGCCTTGCTTGCCTGTGTAACATATTGTGTATGAATAAGATGGTTTTTGTTCAAGAGATTGTACAGCAAGAAGAGGAAGGGCATGAAGCAGGTATTATTAAGTGCTCAGCACTTCCTTGGATTGTGAGATGTCCATGTGAAATGTGGTGTGCTTATTTTCCTTGGGATGAAACAATAGAAATGTACAGAGGTTATGTAGTATTTAATTATTGGAATCAATTAGACTCTGGAAAAGAGCTACCAAAACTACTGACACAAAATTAGAATCCCAGATAACAATAGTGTTGACTGAGAATAAGGGCCATATGGCAATCCAGATTTGGGTGGACGGCAATTCTGATCATTCTTGACCATTGGCTGTGATGTGAGGCTGACTCCAAATGCAATCCAATCATATCTTGAGGGCCAGGGCTTCCAAACCTTTTTTTTTTTTTTTAAATAGATACCATCCAATTAGTGAGTTCACACTACTTTGCGCGATGTACAATCAATCAAAACCTATGCTACAGTCCCTTCTGAGGCTGCTTCTATTTCACATAATTTTAGCTAAAAGCTCTTGGTTGTGCATCCTCTGTCTGCCCTTTGTCTCAGGCAAAACCACAAGACTGGCCCATTCATGCAAATCAAAACAGCCAAATTGATCACAATATTATTTTAATTTAATCCTGTATTCATAGAATACACGGAATGAAAGACTATAATGCAGTTTGCAATTGCTCCATTTATTTCCACAGCTCCGATTGCCCCAAACTTGAAACAAGACAGGAAATGACAATGTTTTTTTATTTTAGTTCAAGTGATTTACTATTATTACTTTGGGCTAATTGTTCTACAGATGATTCAATAGTCACAGAGTTTCAACCTCTTCTGTTGTCAAAATTCAGCTCAAACGTGAACTATTTGTCTTGTGGATGAGGATAATCTTTGGATTTTTATATATAATTTGTTGTTTATTTAACTGTGTTCTCATTCACACCAAATTCCAAATAAAAATTTGTCCCATAGAAGGAAGAAGACACTTCATCTCTTCAGAAAATAGCCTTGTGGTTGGGTGAGGAAGAGAATTATGACTATAGCAGGGAGGAAGCCTGTTAACAATTTCTTCTTGTTATTGCTCAGATGTAAATCTGCATTTGTTGTCATTTGTCCCATTAGAAGAAGCAGAACTGTACATTTTCCCCTCTCTAAAGGAACAAAATCAGCTGCAGGGAGTAACGGTATGTTCTTGAAATGGTGCGGAAAGGTTTAATTCCTCAGCTATTCCCAATATTTAATGGTTGTAGGGTAGTTTTCACTTCTCCTTGGTGGCTTTTAGGGAACTTGGTTGACACAAGAGAACTGATGATTTCTCTCTTACTTATTCCAAAAACTAAGAAAAAATGGAATAGATTGTATTGCATTTTCCCTTTGCCATGGCAGCTTAAGCTGATCAAAAGTAGGTTTGGTTTTTTAAAAGATATTTGTAGCTCGTTGAACTGAACAAGGAAGCAACCATATCAGTTAGGATTTTCTAAATCTAAACCCAACACCATTAGCCATCCATTTTATTATAATAATAATATATAATTTATTGTCATTGTAAGTATATACACAGTATACCATACAACGAAATTAGGTCATCAATTAATGAAAATCATTGCTTTGCTCCAGAAACGACTATGTGTAATCAACAACAGGGATACGAAGCAGCTCCCCAAGCCTGCCCCAAGAGGAAACAGATACATGCCCACCCTGTAGTCTGCATGAAATTAATTTTGGGGATGTGGTAGACAGAAAGATTTTACTTTTTTCCAGAGGCACCATCCTAGCAGTTGCTCAAAGGCCAACACGCAGTGGGATCTGCCTCATCCCAATGATGAAAAGGGGAGAGATGGTGTGGGGAGAAGTAATAGATCTAACGAGCAAGTCAATTAAAGCCCATGTAACAGGAAGTGATGCATACATCCACAGCCCCACCCCGCAATCCTAGGAGAAAACTTAGTAAACTAGCTAGGCTGCAAAATGCAAAGGATGAAAATGGAAATTTTATAATGCAAGTCCTAGCTAGCAGCAATGACACCCTTTTCATTTGCCCTAGATTTATGGGAAATGTGTGGCACAATGGCTGCAAAGGGAGATACAGCCCACACTGACCTGTCTGAGCCGTCCCTAGTATATCAATTGTTTGTTTGTTCAGGGGGGATGTTAAACTTATGGAGGGAGGGGTGGGGAGTCATCTGAGAGTTATCTTCTCCTTTGTTGCTGCCAGTTTAGTCTTTTCAACTTCTGTTTGGTTAATTCCAATTGCAGGGCATATTTTAGCTAAAACAATAATCCACAAATGCTAGATGGAGCACCACCAACTCATGGGATGTTGTTCCATCTGTGGATGGCCAGTGGCTCTGTGCTCCTTCCTGCACGCATCCAAGAACTGCAGAAATGCCCCTGATTTAGTCTGGTTTTACACATTTACCCAAAGACACCACTCTTTTGCACAGCTAGGGCTATGCATCAGGATACTGGCTATTGAATTTATTGCATTTATATCTAACTCTTCCTTCCAGGAGTCATAATTATATGCATTCATTTTTAACTTTCACAACCGGTCAATGAGGCTGCTAAAGAGACTGGATCAATGTTACCTGTACATCATTGGTGGGGCCATCATAGCAGAGTGGGAATATGAGTCTGGCTTTCTGTAGTCCTTATTCCTCACACCATGACAGGGCTACTGTTGTTTTCTATGTTGGGGCCTGTTTTTCAAACTTGTTGCTTTGAAACAGGGGATTGCAGAAGTCATGAAATACATGGAGCTTGACATTATTTGATTTGTAGCAGAAGTCTTGACTTCTTGCATTGGTTCTTGACTTCTTGCATTCTACAAAGTATATGGAGAATCAATGTTTTTTTGATTCTGCATTGTCTTGCATCAGCCACATTGCCTCAACTCTGCAAAATGTGCAGGACTGCATGGGAACACATCTGTATAAGCGCTATTACTATAAATAAGGAATAGTTGTTTGTTGTAGCCCCATAGTGCTAGAGCGCTCTCTGGATGATTTACTACATACTTATCCAAACAACAACTTTGCCCCTTGCTCCAGAGAGGTGGGTATTCATTTTACCAACCTTGCAAGGATAGAAGGCTGAGCCAATGAGTCTGCTTCCTGAATCCCTCAGGAGTGAAAGGTTGAGAGCAGAGGCTTGACTGCAGTACTGCAGTTTAACTACTGTGCCACAGAGCAATTTGCTCATTTATTATTGTATCCAGCTATGGCTGAGCCTGTTCTGAAGGAAGATGAGAACAAAATTAGAAGCCTGTACCCAGCCTGGAGAACCTGCTGTTGCATTGCTTTCAATCCCACTGTACTATTTTCTTTGCAAAGCAACTGTATATATGTGTGAGAAATAAAGTGTGTGCATCTATTTCCATACCTTTGCTTTGGTATCAAATCCTGGGGAGTACAGAAGTTTTTTTTGTGTGTGGTTTTTAGGAAATAGCTTTGCAAAACTCTCATTCTCTGTCAGATACTGAAATAACTCAGGTAAATTACACACTTTTTAAAGGCATAAGTAATTGGATAATTTTCATTATCTTCCAAATTTGCTTTGCTGTTCTCCTGTTCTCATAATTCTGGCCAAATATCCTAGCACTTGCAATGCTTAATGACAAAATAAAACATCTGCATAGACTAAGAACTTTTACACATGATTGGCCAGAGCAATTGATTAATAACGTTTACAGCTAGTTATGAAAATGAGATTACAATACTTGTAAAATTAACACTGCATTTCTAATTCTCCTGCCTGTGGACAATTTGCACAACAAGCAATTCAGCCATTCATAATTAACTAGCACATTTCAGTTTCCAGTTTAATTTTCAGTGGTGCATCTTTCTTATTCATCCATTAAAGCCGCACCATTAAAAGAAGTATTGAAGTTTTATTTATTTGTATTATGCTTCTTTTAACCCCTTTCCCTTTTTTATATTCAGGCAAATTTTATACAATAAATTTTGCTAGGGCTGATTTTAAAATGAAGAGTCACTGCTGCTATTCATAACACCTTGAAGCATCCCCAATTTGATGCCCTCCAGAACATAAGGTGGCTGGGGATAGTGGGAGTTGTAGTCTGATCTAGATACTCCCAGGTTGCAGAATGTTTTATGAGGGAATACTGTGTTATGAATGGGTAACTTGTCATTGATATATCAGAGAAACGAATGAGCTTGCATGATACATTACTGATGTGATCCATCCTGTCCATGTCTACACAGAAACAACTCCCTTTGAATTCAGTGGGGTTTACTTCCAGCATATTATAGCCTTTGTTGACTTCCTTGCTTCCTCCCTGATGCCATCTCTACAGATCACTCTTTGTATGATTTTTACAGGGTGTGTGTGTGTGGCAGTTTTAGCAAATTTGCAGAGTTGTGTGGCATTTTTAAAGCGAACAGATCAATTATAGGAAGAGCTCTATTATCCAATGCTGGAGTTACCTCAAACATCTGGAGCTTGTCAAGTTTTGGTGTTGACAAGCTGCCCCTCATCCTTTTATAAACGTGTACCGATACAGCATGGTGTTTCTTTTTAAAAAAACTACTAATGCAAGATGCCAGGGCAGTTCTGAAAGGGCACAATCCACAGCCCTGGCTTATCTAGGAATCACCAAGTGGCCATCCTTTCTGTGTCACTCCGGATTCAGTTCAGAGTAAAACCCGATTGCAGCAATGGAAGGAGGCAAGACTGACGTTGCAGTTCTTCCCAGAAACACACGTCCCAATCGGAGGGAGAGATCGGGCAGATTTGGAGACGAGAGACCAGCCTTCCAAGCATCCTAGTGGAGGCGACTTAGGCACCCCGCTCCCTGTCAGAAGAGACAGCCGGGCGACTCCACACGGCGGGAAACCTCCTCCTGGCTCCAGAACGGGCTGGACTACAACCCCCAGGATTCCTCCCCGCTGGCTCGGCCGCCGAAGGCTGATGGGAACTGCAGTCCCTCCACATCTGGCCCGGGCCCGGGCGCCTTCCCTCCTCCGCCCTTCCCAGCGGAGAGGGGAACAGCTGGCCGCCCCGTCCAGAGGACGGACGTTCGGGCGGGGAGAGCGGCTCCCCAAACGGGGCGTCCAGCTGCCCCCTCTTTCCACCTCCCCCACCGACGGTTTTAACCAACAGCGGCTTTCGAATTCGGTTTTTTTGCATCTTCTGGGCGTCGGTGCAAACCCGCTCACATCCGCGCTGGTCTCAACGACCCGCCGACACGTGTTCTGTGCCGCCCGCTCGGGTAGCGACGTCTAGCGACCCTAAGAGTCAGCGAGATCCTTGAGTGGTCGTACCGGTTCCACCCCCGCGTTCCCCTGGACGAGGGGGGGATTTGAACCCAGGGTTCTGGAGTCCCCGTCCGCCTCTCTACCCACTACCCCGCAGTGGGTACCCTCGCCCCCAGAGCCCTTCCGCCCCCAAATACGAAGCAGCATTTTCCAGGACCCGTATTAGTGGCGCCCACCGATGGAGAGAGCGCCGCACAGGGAACGGCAATGCGCAGAGGAGGGCTGGCAGGGACTACTAGCCCATCTTCCCCATCGCCCCTGTGCCTCCTCCCCTGGCTGTGGCGGCTGTCAACGGAAACCCGAATCGAGAGGCGCGTGTAAGCGTCGATGCCTCTATGATCTTACGGCTCTGTCCGAAGTTCTCTGGTGGATCTGGTCCTAGAGGTAAGGATAGCGGTGGTCAGCGGTGCCAAAACTACACTGCCGGTTGCCAATCAACTCAACCTAGCTCTGCCCGGAATCCGTCAGAGAAACTAAAACTGGGTGACGGGCAACGTGGTTCTTAAACAGTTGCAATCTTACACACTTTTACCTTCGAGTAAGTCCCCACTGAGCCCATCTGGGCTTAGTTCTGAGTGCACATGCATAGGATAGTTAGTGGGCGGACCGCCAATTCGCGTACCGATGCTTCGGAAATGTAGTAGAACACCCAGTTGTTTGTATCTCTTTGGGACAAGAGCCGTTTTATTTCTGAGAGCAAAGGGGGTGGGGAAAGCAAATCCAATCTGTAGTGCATGCTGGGAAAAAGCTCTTCGTTCGCGCAAGGCCCGCTGGGTTTAGGAGGAAAGTTCTCCGCCCTGAGAGAGAGAGGGGGGGACTCCGGAGGAGGCGGGGCCGTCTGTGACGTCATGGGACGTCCGGCTGCTTCCGGGCTCGATGGCTGCCAGCCGTGGCTGCCAAGCGGGCCGAGTCGCGTGTCCTCCCGCGGCGCCGACGGGTCGTCGGAATGTATCACAGCAGCACGCAGAAGCGGCACTGGACTTTCTGCAGCGAAGAGGACTTGGCCCGGCGCCGAGCTGATGCCAACCGCAAGTTCCGTTGCAAAGCGGTGGCCTATGGGAAGGTAAAGGGGAGGTTAGGCTGGGCTGGCCGCGGGGCAGGTCGCCCCCTCCGCGGGAGCGGCTTCTCCCACCCCGGGCGGCGTTTCGTTTCGCGTCCGGCGCGGGTCCCT